TCCAGACTATAGTCTTGTCTATAGTCCAGACTATAGTCTTGTCTATAGTCCAGACTATAGTCTTGTCTATAGTCCAGACTATAGTCTTGTCTATAGTCCAGACTATAGTCTTGTCTATAGTCCAGACTATAGTCTTGTCTATAGTCCAGACTATAGTCTTGTCTATAGTCCAGACTATAGTCTTGTCTATAGTCCAGACTATAGTCTTGTCTATAGTCCAGACTATAGTCTTGTCTATAGTCCAGACTATAGTCTTGTCTATAGTCCAGACTATAGTCTTGTCTATAGTCCAGACTATAGTCTTGTCTATAGTCCAGACTATAGTCTTGTCTATAGTCCAGACTATAGTCTTGTCTATAGTCCAGACTATAGTCTTGTCTATAGTCCAGACTATAGTCTTGTCTATAGTCCAGACTATAGTCTTGTCTATAGTCCAGACTATAGTCCAGACTATAGTCCAGACTATAGTCCAGACTATAGTCCAGACTATAGTCCAGACTATAGTCCAGACTATAGTCTTGTCTATAGTCCAGACTATAGTCTTGTCTATAGTCCAGACTATAGTCTTGTCTATAGTCCAGACTATAGTCTTGTCTATAGTCCAGACTAAATTTTGGAAAATTTTCTAATAACATAGAACATTTTGGAAAATTTTCTAAAAACATAGAACATTTTGGATAATTTTCTAAAAACATAGAACATCTTGAAAATTTTCAAAAAACATAGAAAATTGTGAAAATTTTCTAAAAACATAGAAAATTGTGAAAATTTTCTAAAAACATAGAAAATTGTAAAAATTTTCTAAAAACATATAAAATTGTAAAAATTTTCTAAAAACATGTAAAATTCTAAAAATTAAAAAAAACATAGAAGATTGTAAAAAATTTCTAGAAACATGGAAAACTGTGGGAATTTTCTAAAAACATAGAAAATTGTGAAAATTTTCTAAAAAACATAGAAAATTGTGAAAATTTTCTAAAAACATAGAAAATTGTGAAAATTTTCTAAAAACATATAAAATTGTAAAAATCTTCTAAAAACATAGAGAATTGTGATCATTTTCTAGAAACATAGAAGATTGTAAAAAATTTCGAGAAACATGAAAATTGTGAGAATTTTCTGAAAACATAGAAAATTGTAAAATGTGGGATATTTTGAAAAATAGTTGGTCCTCTCTTCCTATTGTTTTGCTAACATGGTTTCATCTATAAAAAAAAAAACAACAATAATAATAACAAACCCACTTAGACAAACCGGTAGAACACAAAAACTTGTGTGACATTAAAAACGTAAAATGTTTTCCAACACGGTCTCAACTTAACACCAACACACAAACCTATAACATAAACGAAAACAAAAAGAAACTAAATAGAAAAAAAAAACAGAAGGAAAAAAGAAAACCCACACGCGATTCTGTAACACACACACATACATACTTAAATACATTCACATAAGTCATGAAATTTTGTGTTGTATACAAAACTGTAGCCTGCTTATAGGCGTCTAGTAAATTCAAATATTGTATAAATGTATGTGTTTAGAATGTGTTATTGTATTATTTTGTATGTTTATGTATGCATCATCAAAAATGGTTGCTTTTGGAATATATATTTCATTCTCTCCTCCGCTCTTCCTCTTCAGCTATTTTTGCTCGTTTTTATATTCTTTTTATAGAATTTTTTAATATGTGTCTAGGATTTATTTACAGCACTCACTCACATTTACATACATAAAACATTTCCATAAGTGAGTGAGTGTATGTCTCAAATAAACCAAAACATGTGATGTTGTTTTGGATTATGGTTGGTGTGTGTTTTTTTTCGTTCTTTCTGAAAACACCAAGCATGTTAATACGTCATTGTTGTTTGGTTGTTTGTTATGTATAGTGGGCTTTTAGGCGTTCCTTTTTTTAGACTGGGCAACAGCTGTTAATGCAACAGTAGCAAACAGCAGCAGCATATTGTTTGAAACATTGAAATTTTTTGTCAGCCTTGTCGAGTGTTGTTGCATGATAAATGTCTGTATAAATGAGGAGTTTTCCTATTTTTCTGTTTTATTTCTCTAGCATTTAGCAAAGTAGCTACAAGATTTATTGCATTTTATGTTATTGTTTGTATTTGTTTCTCCTTTCTGTTACTGAGTTATTGAATTTTTCTTTTGGCCTATAAGTAGGCAATTGTTTGTGCAATATAAATTTATAACATTTATTATTTGTTTTTCCTAAGGGTTTGCTTAAGCCGTAAATTGTTTTTATTATTAATTAAATTTGTTTCTGTAGCAATTAAATTAATAGTTGTAGACTAGAAGCCTAAACTATTATAATTGTAGACAATAAAACATTTATAGTTGCACCTAAAGATAGGCTATAAATTTGTTATATAAATTTAATAGAGAAATGGACTTTTAATAGAAATAAGTAAGTATTGTAATACAAAGAAGGGACTAGAAGGTCTAAAGAACGAAGGAAGAAAGAAAGGAACGAACGAACGAACGAACGAACGAACGAAGAACGAACGAACGAACGAAACGAACGAACGAACGAACGACGAACGAAAACGAACGAACGAACGAACGAACGAACGAACGAACGAACGAACGAACGAACGAACGAACGAACGAAACGAACGAACGAACGAACAACGAACGAACGAAACGAAGAACGAACGAACGAACGAACGAACGAACGAACGAAACGAACGAACGAACGAACGAACGAACGAACGAACGAACAAACGAACGAAACGAACGAACGAACGAACGAACGAACGAACGAACGAACGAACGAACGAACGAACGAACGAACGAACGAACGAACGAAGAACGAACGAACGAACGAAACGAACGAACGAACGAACGAACGAACGAACGAACGAACGAACGAACGAACGAACGAAGAACGAACGAACGAACGAACGAACGAACGAAACGAACGAAACGAACGAACGAACGAACGAACTAACGAACTAACTAACTAACTAACTAACTAACTAACTAACTAACTAACTAACTAACTAACTACTAACTACTAACTACTAACTAACTAACTAACTAACTAACTAACTAACTACTAACTAACTAACTAACTAACTAACTAACTAACTAACTAACTAACTAACTACTAACTAACTAACTAACTAACTAACTAACTAACTAACTAACTAACTAACTAACTAACTACTAACTAACTAACTAACTAACTAACTAACTAACTAACTAACTAACTACTAGCTAACTAACTAACTAACTAACTAACTAACTAACTAACTAACTAACTAACTAACTAACTAACTACTAACTAACTAACTACCTAACCTAACTATCTAACTAACTAACTAGCAGCATTTGGAACATCAACAGTCTCGGCTTCATGTTGTTGGAGTCCTCTGCTTAGAAATACTTTCGGATAAAAAGAGCCCCTCGGATTCCTCTGCGTTTGCAATTGAGTAGCTTTTAATGATTTTGAAAGCTCTTGTTGAGCTTAACAACAATCTTCATGAATTATGGCTCCGATTATTGGTCTGCCGAGGCTTCGGCGGTCACTTATAGCCTCCGTGCCAAAATTCTGCAGCGATAGGTTACATTGATCTTTAGCTTTGCAGAGTAAGCAGCCCTTTTTCCGAATTAAAGAATTACATTTGAACGATTTACATAACTTACAAGAATCATTAATTTTTGTTTGCTGAAAACCCGGCAAAATAAAACCCCTATAACTTCTACAAAATCTTTCAAATTCTATTAATTCCTACATAAATTTAAACACAAGCCAACAACAATTACCCAAAAAAGTAATTTCCTAGCAATTCCTCACTCCACCAAAAAAAAAAAACTGCCACAATCATTGAATAATTTTACAAATCATTTGTAAATTTTTTTTGTTTCTTTTAGCTTTGAAGATGATCGGTGAAAAGCAAACACTTAGAGAAATACAAACAATTTGGTCAATTGAACATTAAAGCGTCAATAAAATATGCTGAAGAGAAAAATTAGTTTTTTCCTCCCCAGAAAAAAAAGGACGAATAAATAAAGAGAAGATGAACGTAGCCAAAAAAGGAAAAAACAAACGTAACAACCGAAAAAAAACTAAGACACGTTCAAACATAAATTGTATAAAAAGTATAGACAGCAAATAAAATACAAAAAAAAAAAAAACGTAATGGAATATAAAATAAGCTGAGCAACGACACAACGAGAGAAACAATTTTCTATAACGTTTAAAGATTTGTTTTCAAAACCGAAAATGGAAAAAAAAACTTACAAAAAAACCATTAAATACACATTTTATGTTGAAACACGCACCTTGTTTTATGATTACGCAACAAATAACAAAACAAATGTTAAGGCTAAAAGTATGCTTCACTTTTTTGGTGTAAATAATAAACCCTTAATACAACAATTTACATTTTTTACATTATCTTTAAACATTAAATTGCAAAGAAAGAGTAAATAATACAAACATCCTAAAAGTAGGCAACATTTTCTAATACACTGTAAAAGCCTAATGTTATGCAATACTTTTTTATTGTAATGTTATCTCACAAAAAGTAAATAAACTCTAAAAATTATAACAAACAAATGGTTTATGATTATTTGTAGTATCAAATTTGTCTATAAATATTTGTTAACACTTTGTTTCCCTTTTTCTACAGTCATTTACTATAAATGACAAATATTATTAAGTAAATAAGATTGACCCTTTTATTTAAACAAAACAGCAAAAGGGTTAAAGGTGTGTTTCTAAATCTCTTTTGGTATTAATGTCTTTGAATGTGTTAAATATTAATTGCCTGTAATTAGGGGTAGTTTTTTTTCTGGTTCTAACACCGCCTGACTTTATACTCTTATAAATACAAATTGTTTTCATTCGTTTTTTTTTCTTCTGCAGGAATTATTAATAAAGCAAAATGTGTATAACAAATAATAAGGGAATTTGATATTTATATACCAAAACCAGGGACAAAAAATATTTCTGTTTGTCACTTAAATACATATAAAAAACATACCTTTTTGTCTGGAGGGCTATAGCTCTGGTTGTTGTAGTTATTTGTTAAAGTAAATTATAACTGGAATTAGAAAGAGAGAGAAAGAGAAAACATGAAATGGAGAATTATTACAACAAATTAATTATAATTAAAGCGTGTCAAAACAATGGCCATTATATTTTAGTTTATGACAAAATATTAAAGCATACATTAAGGGGTTTTTTAATGAAAAAGAGTTATTAAATACTACATTAATGTTTAAGTTCTATTGATTTAATTTTTGTAATAATGGACTACAAAGTGGTCTAGATTAGCACTAGAACTGAAATAGAACTGAACTAGAACAGAACTAGAACAGAACTAGAACAGCAATTGAACAGAACTAGAACAGAACTGAACAGAACTGAACTAGAACTGAACTAGAACTGAACTAGAACTGAACTAGAACTGAACTAGAACTGAACTAGAACTAGAACTGAACTAGAACTGAACTAGAACTGAACTAGAACTGAACTAGAACTGAACTAGAACTGAACTAGAACTGAACTAGAACTGAACTAGAACTGAACTAGAACTGAACTAGAACTAGAACTGAACTAGAACTGAACTAGAACTGAACTAGAACTGAACTAGAACTGAACTAGAACTGAACTAGAACTGAACTAGAACTGAACTAGAACTGAACTAGAACTGAACTAGAACTGAACTAGAACTGAACTAGAACTGAACTAGAACTGACTAGAACTGAACTAGAACTGAACTAGAACTGAACTAGAACTGAACTAGAACTGAACTAGAACTGAACTAGAACTGAACTAGAACTGAACTAGAACTGAACTAGAACTGAACTAGAACTGAACTAGAACTGAACTAGAACTGAACTAGAACTGAACTAGAACTGAACTAGAACTGAACTAGAACTGAACTAGAACTGAACTAGAACTGAACTAGAACTGAACTAGAACTGAACTAGAACTGAACTAGAACTGAACTAGAACTGGACTAACTAGAACTGAACTAGAACTGAACTAGAACTGAACTAGAACTGAACTAGAACTGAACTAGAACTGAACTAGAACTGAACTAGAACTGAACTAGAACTGAACTAGAACTGAACTAGAACTGAACTAGAACTGAACTAGAACTGAACTAGAACTGAACTAGAACTGAACTAGAACTGAACTAGAACTGAACTAGAACTGAACTAGAACTGAACTAGAACTGAACTAGAACTGAACTAGAACTGAACCATAACTGAAATAGAACTGAACTAAAAATGAATTAGAACTTAACTAGAACTATTTACATATACGTACATATATTTAATTTAATAAAAACATTTGCCTTATAAGTATGCAATAAAATATACAAAACTCAATTTATCTGCATGTTTATTTTATCTCTAGCCTTAAACTATGTTATAGAAATATTTATTTTTGCTAAATTTCCTACAAATGTTCTGTGAACTGTACGGAATGATATTTTTGTATAGAACAAATTTTGCAACATTTTCTATTGAAAAGTGTCTATTTTTTGTAGAGAAACTTTAGCATAACCATTGAACCCTATAAGTAGGCAATAAAATATACCAAAATCAATTCGTTTTCAACATTAACATTCTTAAAACTGCCTTAAAGCATGCTATTGAAATATTTATTTTTGCTAATTTTCCTACAAACGTTCTGTGAACTCTTGAGCTCTTTTTTTTTCCTTTATATATGAGGAGTTCTGTTTTTTTTGAAACCAACCAGAAGGATAAAATCTCTACAATACCTTGATACTGATAAACATCAGAGATTTTTTAAACTTACATTACATTTCTTCTATTCTGTTCATCTGTTTAAATAAAAATATCATCATGTGATAAAGTTCTGCTTTTAAAACAACTTCACATTAAAATGCAGTAAAACATTCTTTGTAACTTTCAAGTAAATGGCAGGGCAATGCTGACTGACTGGTTGACTCTGGTGTGTGTTGCAATTCTATTTGAAGTTTTGAAATTTTATTTTTTCTTTTTCATATTTTTCCTTGTTGAATAGTTGTCATTAGATATTTGTAACAGTTGTAATGGAAGAGAAGGAAAAAAATACTAAGTTTTTTTTTTCTTCGTATATTTTGTTAGCAACTTTGTATTTGTTCTGGTGTTCATTGACAGCCAACTATTGAAGGAATATTATTTGTTAGAGTTGCTTTTCGGGGACAAAGCCGAAGGGAGTGAGCAATTGTAGCATTTTTGTGTTTTATGAATTGAACTTGATGACGCTAGATAACAAGTTTCAAATGTTATGGCATGTTATTTACGATGTTTACAAAAGTTTAAACAATTTTTTGTCTCTATCTCTAATTCTGTCTTCTTCTAGTTCGTTTTATTTGCTTACAGTTTATATTAAAGGGTTTGTTTAAAAAACCGTAAGAAGTTTCATATTTAAAGCGCCTTAAAGTATACATTTTTTAGTTAAACATATCAACACCTAAAAATATGCTGTGATCTTTTTCAAATTTAAATTTTCCTTTATCTGTTACACACATAATATGAGCGGGAAACAAAAAAATTTGTTGCCTACTTTTAGTAAGTTTTTATTACAAAAAAATCATTATTATCTCCATTTTCATTGTTTATTTCTCCCCCATTTGCCACAAACAACCCAAAATCATATTCATTGTTGAAAATATATAAATTTTGTATTTTTTTTTTTTTTTTTTTTTGTACAAAGATTTATTACCACTTGTCAGTTCTCATCTCAAGAAAAGACATTCATATATTTCATGGTTTTTATTTAACATTTTTCTAAGACAAATTTTGCAGGGCTTTTCATAAAACTTTTGCCATTTTGTTGATATGGTTGGCCAAAGTACAAGAAATGTGTGAACAGCTAAGAAATAATATAAAAAAAATATAAATAAATCGAAAAACATCTAAAGTTTTATGAGATTTTTGTTGTTCTTGTTATATCTTTCATGGTTTCTACGCCTTTTTTCCCTTTTTTCCTACAAGAATTTATTATGTTTGATTGCTTTTTCTTTGTTGTCCCTAAAAGTATGTGTTATTTTCTTTTGCTAGAATTTAGTGACGCCATTTTTTCTCTTTTTTAGTTTTTTGTTTATTTCTTTTCGGTTTTTATGTATGAGTATAATTGTATAGATTTATCAACTATTTGTTAGAAAATTGCTAAAAACAAGCGCTAATAGTCAATTTATTTGGATTTCTTGTTGGGACTTTTAAAATGGGAAAAGAAACTGAAATCAAACTAAGTGGACAGTAATGAAGATATTGTAAAAAACTATCAAAAATAAAAAAAAAAAAAAATAATATAAAAGAGAAAAGTTTTTTATAAAATGATTTCTCTTGAAAAACTTCAGATATTTATGAAATGAAATGTTATAGATTATTGAAAGAAAATGTTTCCGATACGAATTTAAATAGAACTAAACTAAAACTAAACTAGGACAGAACTAGTACTGACCTAGAACTAGAACTGAACTAGATCTGAACTAGATCTGAACTAGAACTGAACTAGAACTAAACTAGAACTGAACTAGAACTGATCTAGAACTGAACTAGAACTGAACTAGAACTGAACTAGACCTGAACTAGAACTGAACTAGAACTGAACTAGAACTGAACTAGAACTGAACTTGAACTGAACTAGAACTGAACTAGAACTGAACTAGAACTGAACTAGAACTAAACTAGAACTGAACTAGAACCGAACTAGAACTGAACTAGAACTGAACTAGAACTGAATTAGAACTGAACTAGAACTGAACTAGAACTGAACTAGAACTGAACTAGAACTAGAACTGAACTAGAACTGAACTAGAACTGAACTAGAACTGAACTAGAACTGAACTAGAACTGAACTAGAACTGAACTAGAACTGAACTAGAACTGAACTAGAACTGAACTAGAACTGAACTAGAACTGAACTAGAACTGAACTAGAACTGAACTAGAACTGAACTAGAACTGAACTAGAACTGAACTAGAAAACTAGAACTGAACTAGAACTGAACTAGAACTGAACTAGAACTGAACTAGAACTGAACTAGAACTGAACTAGAACTGAACTAGAACTGAACTAGTACTGAACTAGAACTGAACTAGAACTGAACTAGAACTGAACTAGAACTGAACTAGAACTGAACTAGAACTGAACTAGAACTGAACTAGAACTGAACTAGAACTGAACCAGAACTGAACTAGAACTGAACTAGAACTGAACTAGAACTGAACTAGAACTGAACTAGAACTGAACTAGAACTGAACTAGAACTGAACTAGAACTGAACTAGAAATGAACTAGAACTGAACTAGAACCGAACTAGAACTGAACTGAACTAGACTGAACTAGAAATGAACTAGAACCGAACTAGAACTGAATTAGTACAGAACTACCACTTAATTCATATTAAATCTAATTAATAATTAATATTCCAAAAATTATGCTGCAACTTTTCTAACAAAATTCGTCTTTTATATATTTTTTTGCAATTTTCACTCTTAAAATGCCATTTAGTTTTATAAACTGTTCATAATTCTTTGCCAGAATCTAAATGTAATAAAAAATTCATTAAAAATATTTTAACAAGATTTATTTGTTCGAGAAAAAAGACACTCTTTCCCCCCAAAATCCTTTCTCATATTTATACAGACACACACATACATACACTTAAACAAAGAATTAACTATAGCTTAAAACAGCAGCATACAAACAGGATGAACCCCCCACAACCAAAAGGCAGCAGGCACAAGACAAAATAACAACAGCTACAAAAAAAGTATTGCGTTGAAAGTTTATAAAAAATTCAACTAAATTCTAATTACACATACGAATGACGACAAAATCTACTAACAAAAAAAACACTGTCTATACACATGCACACTTAACAGTGATAGACAAAGACATGCAAAGAGTTTATAACTAAAAGGAGAGTATAATGTTGATAACTACTACCAAACTACCATTAACTTTAATATTTCCCTAAACATCTGTGTTACTTCCCAGGACAGAGTATTAATGCATACTCATATAGTGAGACGCACACAAAAACACTCATAGATTTCTATATAAATACAAAGAAA